TAAGGAAAAACCATTTTTTATTTTTCACTTTGACACCCTGTATCTTTTTTATTATGCGACTTGGGATATAGGTATGTTAGGTTAAATCGACTTATTTTCACTCCATTTAAATACACCATGTATATCTTTATTTTAACTCGCTTATTTTCTAGATATAGTAATTATTTTATTATTATTAGCAGTCTACTTATACCAAGTAAAACTTGACAGCTTCTTGTAATTGCGTATGCGTCATATTCATCCGTAAGTTATTTAAATATACACACACAACATATCGCTGGTTAAGAAGAAGACCGTCACAACTCAAAAAAGATGAAAAACCTGTTTTCCGTGTAAAATGATCGTAAATAAACTATACTTTTATGTGTAAAAGAGTCACATCTTGGGTTTGGCTAGTTTCTCCTAGATGGGGCTAGCGTCATTTGACACAAGTCAGATTTTTACAATGAATTTTAGGAAAGACCGTACTAACTAGTTTTGTGCGCATTTTGTTGCAGTGAGGGTGTCGTGAATTTTAGTAAAGACTGTCACATTTCAAAGTGTGCCTTTAAAGTTTTGCTTACTTTTGTTAAAGAGTGTCACAAACTTAATTGGGACGGTCATTGTTAAAGGTAAGTAATGTTATATTTATTATTTTATGGGAAATAACGTCACAAATCAAAAAGTGCCAGTCTTCCCCAAAACAAATATATTTCGTTCATGTCATTTTTTAATTTGTGCCTGTCTTTACGAAAATATTTTATAAAAATTATTTTTCTTTTTTTTGAAATATTTAAATTTTATTATAACTGTGCCACTCTCGTCCAAAAAAATGAAAAAACAGCTGTGCATTTTAAATTTACTGTCAATCATTCAATAATGAATCAATATTTTTGTTTATTTAATTAAGGTGTGCACGAAAAATATGACCGAGAGATCACATAGGCGAGCTGATTTAATACTAAAATTATCAAAAGAAAACATCGAGGTACATAATGTAGACCAGTCGATATGGACAATTCAAAATACTTTATTTGACAGCGAAACCTCAGAGGATTTAGATCAAATAAGGGGAACAATTGACCAAGGTAAAGGTAGATGAATATTAATTATTATTTCTCTGAATGAAATCTAATAATTATTACGTAAACGATCTTTTTTTTTATAGAAAACCGTCCAGATGAAGAACAGCAAATTTTATTTGTTGATCCAAAGGGTAATCCGTCAGTTGTTGTTAATTTACCACTGTGTGTTATAAATAATATGGATAACGTTGGCCAAAAAGGTAATAAAATTATAAAACAATGCTTTATTTTTATAAAAGATTTTTTTAATTATACGACAAAAAATTGATGAACACCTACTAAAGTATTACGTACAAATGTGGATTTAATATGATCGTGAATGACAATTGTATTCATATTTACTCTTATTTCAGAGCTTATTTATTTATTTTAATTTTGTTGCAGAGACTGACAGTAGTAGCAGTTTATCTAAGTCTGAGGAATCTTCTGAAACAAGTAAATCTGATCCATTTGGATCAGATTTCTCAGAATTGGATCCAACTTATAAAAATACATCCACTTCATCATCCAGTTCAAGCTCCAGTTCAAGCAGCAGTGACGACGAAATAGTACAGACAAATAACTCGCCAGTTAGGTCACCATCAAAAAAGAGAGGCCGCAAGAGAAAGCAGAATAAAGAAAATTGGCGAAAAAACTTGTCCAAACACTTAAGAAATAGTGGAGCTAGTTATAAGTCTATTAAAGTGACCAAACTTGCTAACAATAATTTAGAAAAGAAAGTAGTTGAGCGTAGTGCAAAGGTAATGTTACCACCATGTGGTGATCGATGTAGGTTGAAGTGTACAGCAAAATTGACTGAAGAGACAAGGAAAAATATTTTCGAAGACTACTGGAAATTGTCGAATTTACAAAGACAGAGAGATTACATAGCATCGTGTATGCAGACTGTTCGTCCAAAATATAGTTACACGAAGGAGAACAGGCGAAGAGAAAATCACGCGTTTTATTTTTTAAATAACATGGAGAGAATTCAAGTCTGTAAAACATTTTTTATATCGACGCTAGGGGTAAATACTCGTATTATAAGAACTGTAATAGAAAAACAAGAGCAGACAGCTTCTGGTATTGTAACTGGAGAGAAAAGAGGTAAGCATAAAAATCACAAAACCGTTGCTAATGGCGTAAAGGAAGGAGTAAGGGCTCATATAAACTCTATTCCGCGTATTGATAGTCACTATTGCCGAGCTGATACGTCTAGAGAATATGTGGAAGGTACAAAAACGATTGCAGAGCTACATCGCGATTATAAGGAATTTTGTCAGTCCCAAGGTACCCCTCCCGCCAACTACCAAATGTACTATGAAATATTTATAAACGAGTATAATATTTCTTTTTTCCACCCAAAAAAAGATGCATGTGAATTGTGTTCTCAATTTATTAATGCAAATGAAGTTGAGAAAGAAACTCTTAAAGAAAAGTACGACACTCACTTAAAAGAAAAGGTCCTCTCTCGTAGTGAAAAAGAAAACGACAAGGCGTCCAACCCAAATACGTTTGTATACGATCTTCAATCAGTCTTGCCATGCCCAACAGGAAATACGTCATCATTTTATTATGTTTCTAAACTAAACGTATATAATTTAACAATATCTGACTTAAAGTCTAGCAACGTGTCTTGTTATGTATGGCACGAAGCTGAGGCACATCGAGGTTCGAATGAAATTGCTTCCTGTGTTTTGAATTTTTTGGAAAATTTAAATAGGCAAATAACTGAGCCAACCGACATCATATTTTACAGTGACAACTGTGTGGGGCAAAATAAGAACCGAAATATAATTTCTTTATATTTTTATGCCGTTTCAAAATTTACAAACTTAAAGTCAATTAGCCATAAGTATTTAATAACAGGACATACCCAAAATGAGGGTGATAATGTACATTCTGTTATAGAAAAGCAGGTAACTCGTTACAAAAAATCTGCTCCCATTTATGCACCCGAACAATACATTACCCTTATCAGACAAGCAAAAAAGACTGGAAACCCATACAAGGTTTTAGAATTGACACATGAGGATTTTTATGATTTTAAAGATCTTTCTGATCGTTTAGGCGTAAAAACTGGGTATAGGAACGAAGAAGGAGCACCTTTAAAAATTTCAAATATAAAAATATTAAAGGTTGAAAAAGCTCATCCTGAATATTTTTCCTACAAATTATCATATGAGGAAGAAACATTTTCAACATTTATGGTTTTAAATCCCAGAAGAAAATCGAACAAAGTCCTACCAGTGCTATTAAAAAAGGCTTATAGTAATAAAGTAGGAATAAGTGAAGTAAAAAAAAAGGGAATCATGACACTGATTCAGAAAAACTCTGTTCCTAGTTTTTATAGTCAGTTTTATAACAGCTTATAAAGTTAGGTAGTTTTAGTATACCCAACTACTTTATGTAGGTAGGTACTAGAGGAGGCAAGGAAGAACCTTCCTTTTAGTATTTTTTATGTTCTTGTAAAACCAGGGTTAGTTATTTTGTATTTACACGTTTTGTAAATAATAAAGAGTTGCTAAAGGAAAAGGCTTATTTGTTTTATTTATTTTTCTAAAAATATTTATTATATTTTCTTTAACTCCAAATATTGTATGTTTTAAAAATGTTTTAA